ACACCTCCTGGAAGTTGCAAAATTTTCTTGGTTCCCACGTAACATGCCTATTTTTGCAGGCTTGTAATTCAAGTTCTTAATAAAATTTAACACTTTTTTTTTTACTAGATTTTTCACGTCCTGGATTTTTAAATGCACGTTAGATGTCTTAACCCTGTTAAAAAGCCACATAAATATTGTAAAAGTAATATTTTCAACAAACACAGAAGTAAAAAACGTGTCTTTAATTTTTAGAAGAGATATATTTTGTGTAAGATTCTTTGCTTTACAAAATGTCGAAATTCGAAGGTGGTAATTTTTCTGCATCGAGAGTTACGAGCCGGAATAGAATGTGAAACTGAAAAAACTCAATATTTTCACTGTAATCCCATGCACTTTACATGAAGAAACCTCTCTGAGCTGCTTCTGAAAGCCGCAGACAGCTACTATAAAAATCCGGTGTGACTTGAACGTTGGAAATTTGTTACAAAAGCTATGTTTAATTATTAACAAATTCTTATCTTGCAGGGTTGTAAAAAGTAGTTCCCATTTTATCATTCTCTGCTTCTTGTAATTCGTAGTTTCTAGACTCTTAGAAGGTGGTAATGTGTCTGTCTATAGTGCACTTGTTAAAGTTTTGGTTGCACAAGCTCGTCTTGTTGTTCCTTTCTTAAAATTATGTGCTGTAGTTCTTCAAAAACATAGAAAGTCTCAGGTGAGCCAGCATCCAGCACCTAACCAGGTGAAGCAGTAGGTTTTCAGACTTCTCCGTGACTTCAAAATAAATACCAGTGCATAATTTTAACGGAATAAAACACAAAAAGCAGAAGGCACTGGAATAACGATTGGTTCTTACATGCAGAATACTAATCTTTTATCGTCTTGAGATAAATTTAGGTCATGAGGAACCTTATAAGTAAGAAACTGTTAAATTTTATTTAGGATAGACTAAAATACAAGTCTGCAAGGTTAGGCATTTCACGTGGAAACCTGGCAAATTCTGAAAATTTGAGGGAGTGTAACTTTGAAGGGAATTTATTTTTCCGGGTTTTTTTTCGGCTTCTTGTATATCGGCCTAGACTCGACTAACCAGGAAAATTTAAAAGAAATCTGAGATATGAAGGGAAAAAAGTATGCGATTTGGCATGGAATGGCCCACATATATACTGGGAATTGTTAAATAGGATGAAAAAGCAGAAGGCACTGGAATGACGAGCATTAATTTCATAGTTCATAATGAAACTCACTTTGCTTTCTGTTATTATTGCTCTCCAACTACTTAAGAGTAAACAGTTCCATCTGTAAGTTGTTCTTTCTCACAACTTTCCTAAATCAAAATTTGTCAGTGCTGAAGTAATCCTTTTTTTTTGAGTTCCATAAGCAACGTCAAAAAAAAAAAGCTAAAGTCGAAAGCTCCAAACAGATTAGTAAGGATGATCAGTACCATCTGCTTGACAGCATTGATAAAAGTTACTATCTGGATCGGTTCCTTAGACGTCTGTCTGGGTGTTGTAAAACTATACTGCAGCAAGTACTGAAACCAGCATCTGCTTTAGGAGGACAGAAGACTGCTTTTAGTCAATGTTCTGATACACCTCATCAGTATAAGTCATTAAAAGTAATAAATGGTAGCCTAATTTCGATAGAAAAAAAAAACAGTTGAAACCGTTGAGCCACCTGAGAACTATGAAATTGAAGAACAAGATGGAAAAATAAAACGTTTGAACTGCGCAGTGTTACGCTAATCAAAGCTGTGGAGCAGAATAGTGCATTATACGCATATAGCAAATTAAAAACTGAATACGTCAGAAACTACACGGAAAATTAGTCAATTTTTTTGAACATATTTACTGCTGGTTGGTGCAATCAGCTGCAATGTCCAACTTTTATGGGACGTAAAGTGAAAGGAAACTGTGACGGCTTCTTAGAGTCATGTAACGTTGTGAGTGGATTCTACGACTGCGAAAAACGCACTGCTGTTTTATTATTAACTCAGTCCAGTTTTTTTTTTTTTGAAGATTTTTTCAATATAAGTGCGATATCATAACCGTAAGACTGTTTCTAGCAGTTTTTGAATGCAATTCGTCTTTGTCAGACATCTCAAGTTATTGGTCATAATATTAAAAGGCTGCAATATTAAATATAGTTTTAAAAGAAAAGTTTAGGTGCTCAAACAGCAAATTCTAAAACCTGTTTTGATGATCTATCTATTCTTTATCTAATAAAGCGATTTTCTGGTGAGGGCTTTTACGGTTTGTATTTGTGTCTGGGAATTTATTATTATACTTGTTGAATGTACTTTGGTTTGGAAATTTTATGATAATTATCAGGTGGGAAGAGTAAGAAAGAAAAATGAAATTCTTCAAATTAAACAGTTCTATCTATACAGTGCGTATTGCTCAAACCGTTTTTAAAAAAGTAATGAAAATTTACAAAATTCTGCAAAAAAATCTTTTTAAATTCTTTACCAGTGATAAATTACTAAAAGTGAAGTAAATGCAGAAGAAAATTTTTACGCAGCTTTACACTAATAACTTTTGTCGCTTTTTTCTCATACTGTTCGACAGCAAAACAGTCTTCTTCTTCTTTTTCTTCAAAAAAAAACACCATCTAATAAAATTGATAACAAATAGCCAAGAAGGGTAAAAAGAAAATAAAAAGATCGAATTGAAGTTTATTTTACTGCAAAAGAAAATTTGTCACCCGCAGCTCCCAAAGTTCGCTTTGTTCAAAACTTAACTGAATTATTGCCATACGGAAGGTTAGGAGAGTTTAAAAAATAAAAAACTTATACCTCACTTGAGGAAAAAGATGTAAAGTGACTAATATAATATCAAACAAGCTTGCACCGCATTAATTGTGCAACAAACCTTGAAGTGTATAATTACAGATTTACATTGATCTGAACTTGATCAAGGAAGATCATACAAGAAAAAAAGGCGCTAACCGTCTTTATAAAAGACTTTGGTAGACCAGATATACCTATTGTTTCTTGCAACTGAAATTTAGAGGTGTAGTTTCGTTATACGTTTTGTCGTCAACAAATCTGTAGGTTCTACTCTGCCTTTGCATCTAAACGAGTAGGTTTTATTCTTCTGATTTCCTTTCTTCTTTTTTTTTTTTTTTTTTTTTTTTTTTT